AAACTGTTTAGAAAAAACTATTACTTCAGAATCAGATACAGTTTGTACTTTGAAGAACGAAATTATAAGTGAAAGATTATTTAACAGTAATAATCGTTATCTAGAAACTAATCATATATATCTATTCAGTTTGGTATGCCATTTTTTTCCGGTTGATCTCATTATTTTGAAATAGCATAATGGTGATGTCAATATGTCATTACCGTTGTGATTTTTTGAATACCGACCCAAAATAATTTATAAACACTAAATGTGGCAACGAATATACACAAATCCGAACACAAAAGTTATAGAAACGTAATAGGTATGCCAAAGCTTTAAAATTCATGGACAGTGATAATAGTTATACCCAAATTTCGAGAGCATAGTAAGCCATTGCCTGAAATGGACGGATAAGGAACCGTTCCCACAACAGATAGCACTAACGACAGGATTCCACCATCGGAAGGTAACGAAGGTCATTGAACGGTTAAGCCGACCTATGCTTCGCGAAGTTATCTGATAAAGCGGTGCTGCTCTCAATTCGGTGTACGGATGGATGCCAACGGCTGAATGCTAAAGGAGCATTATATACGGTTTAAAGGGTGTGGTTAGGTTTTGGTGAGTGGATTCAAATGATGAATATTTATTGGGCTGAACATATGGGCTAATAAAAAGACTGGCATGGGCTTTTTTTCTCTTACAAAGGCTAATCTGGGCTTTATAGAAAGGATGAGTTATACTGTTATAGTATGGAGTAGTTCTTAATTTTTTTTATTTAATTTTAAAAGTTTCTTATTTAATTTTTTGAAACCCTATAAAAAATGCGTTTTTTCTAATTATTCCAAAACATACTTACTAGATGTCTCCGAGTTTTCACTATCCGATTTTTAATTACAATTTATTATACATGTTATGTATATGACAATTTACATTCATTTCATACGACCAAGTAATATTTATAAATAATATCATATCGCTATTACATTTTAATACCCCGCGCATCGCGCGGGTGAGAATCTAGTGATGGTCAAATCAGCCAAAAAATGATTGATATATGCCACTAACCAAACACCCCAATAGGTTCTTCTTATTAGGAGTCTATGTAACCAATTCCAACTTCCAACAAGGTTCATTTATATCTCAATAACTTTATAACTTTCCAGCATGTATATAAGAAACTCTCATTGAATCAAGGAAATACTAAGCTAGGGTCAATTATACGAAAGGTTACAACTACATATTATTTGAACTTACGGCTATCGATTAGAGGATCAAAAGATATATCAAAATCATAAACGTACAATGAACCACCTTCTGATCAGTTAATCGTACCGTGAGTTTAAAAATAATAATGATATAGTTAACTGTAAAAACACCGATTTTTCAATTTGGTTGTGTTTTTGTGTGCCCACCCCTAGATACCACAGTGTGTGACAACTAAATTAAAATAAAATTAGTAAGTATTGTTCATGGACTTAAAAATAATTTTCATTTTTCAAAAAATATTTATCATTTATGAATGATAAATCTTAGATCGCTTTAGGGGTGTTTGGAACTGATTCTAATTCAGCTTCTTAAAAAACTGATTCTAGAAATAAATTAAAGCATCAGAATATTAGATTCAAACACCCTTAAAATATTAAAAGGGATTCTAGTTTTAAAAATCAAATTCAAACACCCTTAAAATGTCTAAAATTTCTTAGACAGTATGCTACATGATATATAGAAGTGGTACATGATCTCATTTGAAGGTATATTAGAACCGGTTTCTAAACCTTTCAATTTTCCGGTGTGGGATAAGGCTAGCTACCACTACGGTTATCTTTCTCCATCATTAGCAATTGATAAGAATTCCTGAAGACGTGGCTCCAAGTTCATTAGCAGAAAAATTGGTTAAATGGAATGTGAGAAGATTTGTGATACCATTCTAATCGGGAATAACTGTTCTAGCATCTTCAAGACGCCAAGCAATCAAACTCAGGAGTTGGGAGGAAGAGCGAAACCATTGAGATTTGAAAGGTTGTGCAGGAAATGGCATTCGAATTAATTTAATTGTCACCCCGACCCAGAGCTCACCCCCAACCTCGCTAAGCTGTTGTTACTTTTTATCTTTTCAATTCTGGCACTCCGTAGTATTATATCTATGTAGGTTTTTCATGGAAGTTGATGGACACTCTACCCGGGGGTATCTTATCCGAGGGGTTATTGCGGAAATAACTTAGAGAGAAGTCAGAGCAAAATAGGAGGAGAGAGAGTCGATTTATTAAATGAACTCGAGATGTGGAGATGGATGTGGATCGTTTACAAGGAGAAATGGGCTGCTATTTATAGCAGCAATAAATGCGACGAGAATACACGTGTCAGTGATCCAACGGCCGAAGGATCACATCAGCCGGGTGGCACCGGCAGTGGTACGTTCACCGCATTGAATGCAGTTGGCGGATGTGACGTGGCATTAAATGCGGTGGTTGGCTGTCTCCAAAAGGAATCTTCGATGATTGAGCGTGTTTGGCCGAAGGCTCCTCGTGTAGCCGAGGGCTTCATGTGACCAAGGATCCCTGTTTAGCCGAAGGCCCTGTGTGACCGAAGGCTTTGGTTCAGCCGAAGGCATCTCTGATGCCGAGGGCTTGGCAATGCCAAAGGCTCATGTTTTCCGCCGTTTTCTCCCAGTAGCTTCTTATGCCAGAGAAGGCTATCCTGTGAGTTTTGGAGCCTTCGGCCAAGGAGGCCGAAGGCACCCCAGTGTGTATTCCGGGCTACTTTGAGGCTTGAGCCGTTGTATTTGGGCCTGAGTTGTTTCCTGGGCTCAATGGACTTGTGTAGGAGAAGTAGGAGTCTATGGGCCGGGGGTTCCTGGGCCATATACTCCATTAGGAGTCCCTCACTCCTTTTGCCGAAAGGTACTTGAGGGAAAAGGAGTAGATGTGTTGATTCTTCTGGAGGCTCCATCATTTAGTTGGGCGCCTTTGCTTGAGAACTTGCCTTCTGCTGATTGCCGAAGGCTTCCCTTAGTCCCTCACATGTCGAGGGTTTTCTGAGGGAAGTATAACACCTGTATGATTGCCGAAGGTTTTCCTCAGTCCCTCACATGTCGAGGGTTTTCTGAGGAAAGCATAGATTTTTTGCCTGCATGTGTTGTGACGAAGGGGTTTATTGAAGTATGTGCCCGAGGGTTTTTACTTTGATGTTCGCCCGGAGGCTGTATGCGTCACTTGTGAATTTTTTGTATGAGGATTTTTGTTCTGTGTGATTCCCGAGGGGTGTGTCCCAGTCCCCCACTCCTTTAGGCCGAAGGTAGGTTCGGGTTGAAGGAGTCATGATGTTTTTTGCATGCATCCCCGAGGGGTGCCATGTAATGGGGGGTGGCAGCATTGATGAGCCGAAAGCTTGGTGAATTTCGTTGGCGGAAGGCTGTGGTGAGTGATAGCCGGAGGCTATCATTCGAGGGCACCCCCAGTGTTGCCGAAATATAGTCGTGATATAGCCGTTGGGAGAGGAGCTGACGTGGCGTGTTCTCGTTGGCTGACGGGGGGCGGGTGTCATCCATTGGCTGAACCGGCGGCCCGTAATGATGGCCTTTTTAAATCGAGGCCCAGTTCTCGAGGCTGAAAGCCTATATATATCCCAACCCCGAACTCATTCGGTTTGTGCGTTTTGTTGTGAAGCGAAGCTCTGCCGAAATTTCTAGAGAGAGAAACTCCAATCTTCGATCAAACCCTAAGCTTTGAGGTTAGTTCTTCACCTGTTCTTCTCCTCGTAGCATAGTTTGCTATTGTGTCCTTAGATCTAGTGTTTAGGGAGACTTTAGGAGCCTTCGGCTAAAAACACTTAAATAGCCTCCTCTTTTAGAACTCTTCGCCTCTCTTAGTACCAGAATGTCTTCCGGTAGCGATTCCCAAAATATCTCAAAGCAGCCCTCCTTAGGACCTGAAAGCTACTCCGAAGTGGAGTCTTCAACCGAGCAGTCGTTGGCTGGCAACGATGCAGTCGTTGCTGAGGAGATCCAGGGAGCCCTTCGGACAGAGATGGAGGCGGAAGAATTCGAGCAGGTGGTAGAAGACGAGGAGATGGCCCTCGCGCTCCAAGTCGCCGAGGAGGAGGAGGAAAAAGAAAGGCAACAAGTGACTGTCGCTGTCCTGCCCCCACGTGGTACTGGGGAGGCTAGCAGCTCCCGGCCGCTGAATCCGGAGCCTCTGAGGGTGGCCCCGGGCAAGAAGAAGAGGAAGCTGAGGGCGGTCCCGAAGAAAAAGCAGGCAGCTGTCGACGCTGGGCGACCGGTTGGGATACCCGAAGGGCATTCTTACTTGAACACTACTGCGCTTGAAGTGACAACAAAAGCTGGGGAGGCTGAGTACCTTAAGACTCAGATCTTGGTCGGGCCGTCAGCACAAGTAGTAGAGCCGGGTCCGAATGACGTGTTACCGCATCCCCCGGAGGGTTGTTTTGCTGTGCATATCCTTTCGGTGGAGTTAGGGCTCCGGTTTCCCCTCCACCCGTTTGTCATGGAGTATCTCCGCTTCGTGAAACTAGCCCCCTGCCAGCTGACGCCAAACAGTCATTCCTATTTGTCGGGGTTCCTCTCCTTATGCCGGAGCCGAGGGGTGAGGCCAACGTTAGATCAGTTCTTCTTATCTTTCAACCTCTGCCGAGGAGGGCATTCGCACGCAGGGGGCTTCGCCAACCTTCAACAGGTTCCGGAGTGGAGATTATTCTCGGAGGTTCCCTCCTCCCACAAGAATTGGAAGGATCGCTTCTGCTTTATAAGGATGGCGGAGAATCCTTTCCCTGTTCCCCTTCGGGACCACTTTCGGAGGCACCCGAAGGTGGGAAATGCGGCCCTTGATAAAGAGGGAAAGAAGATGACAGCCAAACCGGAGGGATCCGACAAGGTGATGAAGATAAAGGACGCCATCCTTCCGGACGAGTTATATCGGCTTGACTTTAGGCGTTATCGCCTAATTGGAGAGAAGGATGAGAGATATCCTTCCATCGACCGGGGCTATGAAAGCGCCGGAGGTTGTTGCCGAAGGCCCTTTTGCTTTTGTACTTAGCAATTTTTTTTTTGTTGTCGCAGTTCTAACACTCGTATATTGTTGCAGGCCAAATCATGGACGTCAGGTCCTTCGCTCATTTGAAGAAGAAGCTAACTAGGGAGCCCTCGAAGAAGAAGGAGACGGGCGTTCAAAAACCCGTCGACGGTTTCTTCAAGAAGGATGGGGCCGCTCAGGTCCCGGAGGGTGAGGGACCCTCCAAGAATGCTGTTGCAGGCACCGACGCCGAGGAGCTGAAGAAGAAGAGAGCCGGGAAGGGCACGGTGCTCCCCGAAGGGAAGAAGCAAAGGAAGGGGGCCACCGAGGAGAAAAGCGCCCCCGTCGTCATCGTCGAGGAACACTCCTCCTCCGAGGTCTCGGGCCAAACAGCTGAGATGTCGTGGCCCCAGGAGAATGTGCAGTTCTCCATTCCCAAGGGGACCGCCATCATGCACGGCACCCTCAGCCCGAGGGAGTTCCTAAAGGGTGCCACGCCCCCGACTGACAAGTCGGTGCTTTCGAGGGCCAAGGATGACGCCCTCAACGCAAAAGTTCTCCAAGCTTCCGTCACGGTAAGGCTTTTTCCTTCCCCTTTCTCCCTGAGTTGTTTGGACTCAGCGTATCCTTATCTTGATAATTTAGCCCTTGTTATATGATGGTGTCGATTTGCAGGCTGCCCCCGGTCTTGGAGAACTGATCCAGAGGATGGAGCGATACCAGATGCAGAAGCTGCAAGCTGATGAGGCCCTGGCGGAGTCCCGGCGGCAGCTCCAGGAGGTCCAAGAGACCCTCCGGCGGGAGACGGAGGTGTTTAACTCCATCCTTGAGAACAACAAAATAATCGCCAGGGCCGAGGGGAAGGCCGATGCTGAGAGGGCTGCAGCCGAAGCCTCCAAGGCTGCCGCCGCGGAGGCCGAGGCAGCCAAGAAGGAAGCTGTGGCCGAGGCTGAGAAGAATGCTGTTGCCGCCTTTGCTGCTGAGGGGTGGAGGGCCGAAGACCGAAAAGGATGGGTGGCCTCGGTTATAGAGCAGGGGGTGGATGCCTGGGTGAAAGGTCCCGGCGCCGAATGGTTAGCCCGAAGGGGCAAGGACTATTATGACGGTGGTGAATTCTTCACCCAGAAGATGATCTATCGAAGGCTGGCCCGGCATTTGAAAATTGATCCGAAGGAGTTTGATCCGGCAGCTTACGGCCTCCCCCCCTTGCAGCCAGATGTCCGGATTCCTCTGCCCGAAGGTGAAGAGAGGCCGGATCTTGAGGATTCCGAGCTTATGGGCGAGGGCGACAACGAAGAAGCCGAAGACGATGCGGCCTCAAAGCCGAAGGAAGATGTCGCCAAAGAGGCAGAGACTTAGAATTTTCCTATATGTAAACATTTGTAGTAGTAGGCTTCGGCTTCAGCCATGTACGCGGAAATTTGTTTTGCACTTTGATATTCCCTGATGAATGAACGTGATGTGCATTCGGGCCTTTTTATGAATGAATGCCTTGACTCCTTATTTATGCTTTCGTCCTTTTGCCTTTGAATGTATGTTTTCTTTCTTTTGCCTGGTCTCCCGAAGGCCACAAGTTTGTGGACTTAGAACATTTTCTAAGTGTAACTCTTTGCTAGCCCCGGTTGTGGTGTAAGATCGCCGGGGGGTCGTTGTTTGTGGACTTAGAACATTTTACAAGTACAACCTGATCAGAACCCTACGGGTGTAGAGTAGAATCACCGGGGGGCTTGTGGTTGTGGACTTAGAAAATTTTCTAAGTGAGAACTTTTGTCATGAACCTCCGGTCGTAGTGTGGAACCAGGCCCCCCTGATGTTCGTAGTAGTGAGACCGAGGGATAAAATGAATTAGACTTAGGAATTTCACTAGGTGAAATTGCATCTTATGCCCCCGGAAATTGCAAGCCTTCACTAGTGTGGACTTAGTCATTTTTTTACGAAGTCACTTTTTTACGAAGTTTCATCACCCTCAGTGGTGATGAGGCCTTCGACCTTTAGTGTAGCACTAGGTCCCCGTCGGGGTAATTGACAAAGATACTGCGGGCCCTTCAAATGTGAGGATTGCTTGTCCGCCGAAGGGTCCCACTCGTGGACTTAGTCAAATTTCCATAAATCTTCAATAGACGCCGTAGTGAATCTTTGAGCGTGGGAACTGCCTGGGCCTCCGGTGTGAATAGCTGTCGGGGGATCCAAAATCATGGACTTGGGAAATTCTGAGATAGTCTCCCATAGATCCCGTACGTAGCCCTCGGTCGATGGCTAATAGCAAAGTTGCCATAAATTTTATTGACCCTTCGGTTGTAGGTGTCTGATGAGACCTTCGCTGTTGTAAGTCCCCTGAAGCAATTGTGGTGAACCCTCCGGCTCGTGGTTGATGTAGATTTGATTTGCCTTAGGACTTCGTGTAGCCTTCGGCATGGAACATAGTTGACTTCGATTCAGCCAAATTTTGGACTTAGCCAAATTTAGGTGAAGTTTTGCTAGTGAGCCTTCATCTTGAGACATTTTCTTGTGCCTTTGTAGGATCCTTCGGGAATATATATCCAAAGTGTTGAGCCTCCGAGGAGAATAGTATCCGGGGAGTTCCTTCCCCCCCCACACCTTTTTTTTTTTTTTTAGATGGGATAGGAGAGGCATCAAGAAACTTGGTTTCTAGGAAAGGCTTGGCCTATATGGGAGGCAACGGAATAAACCGTTGGCTCCCCCTTCGGGAATGACCTTCCGATATCCCGAAGGGTTTGAGGGTCGTTTCCTCGGCCCGAGACATCGTCTGTTGCCTGCTTCCCCTTGGGAGATAACACGGAAAGCGCCTCGGTTTTGAAAGTCGTCCCCTCAGCCCGAGACATGGTCTGTTGCCTGCTTCCCCTTGGGGGATAGCGCGGGGAGCGTTTCGTTTGTGGAAGTCGAATCCTGGGCCCGGGACATGGTCCGTTGCCTGCCTCCCCTTGGGGGATGGCGCGGAAAGCGTTCCTGGGAAGGGTTTTATTTGTGTGTGGAACACAAATAGCCGAGGGCACTTGGTACCAGCCGGGGCCGAGGGGTGTTGCACCCCCCGTTTTTTTTTTTTAGGAGAGTATGTATAAGTATGCATAATGTATGCATGATTACGTCCTCGTGGGGTACGACTTAGTGGGAAAACACTTAGTGTTTCCAAAGAGTGATGGGGGTGACCCATACAATTGGTGTTCCTCCTTATGAGGGGAGGAGGCCTTGGGCCTATTTTGGTGAAGAGATGAAGGCTTGGCCACTCATTGTCAGGAGAGATAGGGGTCTCGGGCCGCTTGTGTGACATATAGGTGATGAAGGCTTGGCCTTTTATTCATTCACTCGAAGTGAAGTTGGGCCTTGGGCCGTTGATCAAGTACATTTTTGAAGGGTGTGGGCTTGGCCGCTCATTGATAAAATTTGACTAGGTGGTGCACATTCCAATGTCTAGGGACCTCTGTCCCATTAGGGCGTTTAAGCTTGTATGTCCCCGGTTTAATGATGGCTGAGATGATGTAGGGGCCCTCAAACTTAGGCGCCATTTTTCCTCCTTCGGTGGGTAGGCTAGCCTCCCTTCGTCGCAGGACGTAGTCACCCTCCTGGAATTCCCGGGAGCGGACCTTGGCGTCGATGTAGCCTTTGACCTGTCTTCTATAGTTTTCGGCTCTAAGGAAGGCTTGTTCTCGGCGTTCTGAGATGAGGTGAAGGTCGAGGGCCATATTGGCGTCGTTGACCTCAGGTTCATATTGTTCCACCCTTCGGGTGGGAAGGGTCACTTCTGTTGGAGCTTTAGCCTCGAAACCATAGCATAGGGAGAAGGGTGTCTCGCCTGTTGCACGCCGAGGGGTGGTGCGGTAGGCCCATAGGTTGTTGTGGAGTTCTTCTACCCAGCCTCCCCCTTCGGCTTCCAGCTTTTTCTTCAGCCCTTCAAGTAGGGTTCGGTTGGCGTTTTCTACTTGTCCGTTGCCTTGAGGGTAGGCAACGGAAGAGAAAGTGTGTTTGATGCCCCAAGCCTCAAGGAGGGCACAGAAGGGGGCTGCCTCAAATTGAGTGCCATTGTCGGAGATGATTTGTTGGGGGACGCCAAATCTTGTCAGAATGTTCTTGAGGACGAAGTGGCGGCACCGGGCCTCAGTAATGCTGGCGAGGGGCTCCGCCTCCACCCATTTGGTGAAGTAGTCAATGGCCACAATGATGTACCTGTTGTTGGAGGTACCCCTCGGTAGAGGACCTACTAAGTCAATACCCCACCTGGAGAAGGGTATAGCGGTGCTGATGGGGGCATAGTTGACCGCTGGTCTGCCGGGGGCCTTCTGAAAGTGTTGGCAAGCGGTGCACCTTCGGGCTAGATCAGCACAATCTCTAGCCATCGTGGGCCAGAAGTAGCCTTGAACTATGAGCCTTCGGGACATGGAGAAGGGTCCCTGGTGAGCCGAGCAAGTGCCACTGTGCACTTCCTCCATAGCGACTTCGGCTTCATCTTGATGAAGGCACCGGAGGAGGGTGCCGTTGTAATATCTTTTGTAAAGCCTCCCATTCTCGAGGGTATAGCTGGGAGCCCTCAGTTTTGTCAATCTTGCGCGGGCCTCATCCTGGGGCAGTTGCCCTGTGGTGATGAAGGCGATGATGTCGGAGATCCAATCCTTCGGCCTCCGGTTAATGTTCATAACGGGGCTCGCGTGGATGCTTGAGAGGCTGAGTTCCTCAATTCTTGCAATTTTTGAGAGGTGCTCGGGGGATTCATCCGAGAGCTTGGATAGAATGTCGGCCTCTGAGTTTTGAGCCCTCGGTATTTGGGTGAGAGAATGTGCCTCAAATACCTTAAGCAACTCCTTGGCCGCTTCCTTGTACTGTTTCATCCTGCCCTCTTTGGCTTCGTACTCCCCGGAAATTTGACCCACGACGAGTTTGGAGTCACACTTGACGTGGATCATCTTAGCCTTCAGATTTGCTGCCAGCCGAAGGCCGCAGAGGAGGGCTTCGTATTCGGCCTCGTTGTTGGAGACTTTGAAGGAGAAGCGGATGGCATAATAGGCGCGGAAGCCCTCGGGTGTGATGAGGACTACTCCCCCTCCGCATGCTTTGGTGGCTGAGGAGCCATCGGTATAGAGTGTCCACCACTCATCAAGAGGCGCCGAAGGCTCTTCATCCACCGCTGATCTCGCGGTGCACTCCGTCACGAAGTCCGCCAGGGCTTGGCCCTTGATGGCAGGCCTCGGACGGATATCTATGTTGTATTGGCTGAGGAAGATGGCCCATTTCACCATCCGAGAGGAGCTAGTGGGACTCCTCATGAGGGCGCCGAGGGGTTGATGGGTGAGCACTTGGACCGGATGAGCTTGAAAGTAGTGGCCAAGTTTTTTGACGGTCCATACGATGGCTAGCACCGTCTTCTCGATGGGAGAATACCTGAGTTCGGCCTCCCGGAGGGTTTTGCTAACGTAGAAGATGGCATGTTGGATGCCGTCTTCCTCTCGGATCAGTACTGAGCTGATGGCCGCAGGGCTAACGCCGAGGTATAAGTATAAAGTCTCCCCCACCTTTGGTTTGGAGAGCATTGGGGGAGAAGAGAGGTACTTCTTAAGTTCGTCGAAGGCCTCCTGACATTCAGATGTCCATTGGAAACCCGCTGTCTTTCTCATGATTTGGAAGAAGGGGAGGGCCCTCTCGGCTGATTTGGAGAGGAAACGGTTGAGGGCTGCCAGGCGGCCCGTCAACCGTTGAACTTCTTTGACGTTGCGTGGAGGCTCCATGTTGACGATGGCCTGAATTTTCTCGGGGTTGGCCTCAATACCCCTTCGGCTGACCATGTAGCCCAAGAATTTCCCTCCTTGCACGCCGAAGGTGCATTTCTTCGGATTTAGCCGGAGGTTGAATTTTTGCATGATGGCGAAGATTTCCTGGAGGTCCTCGGCATGGGTGCTGGCCTTGTTGCTTTTAACGATCATATCGTCAACATAGGCCTCCATGGTGCGCCCTAAGACAGCTTGAAAGACCCTAGCCACCATGCGGGTGTAGGTGGCGCCTGAGTTCTTGAGGCCGAAGGCCATCACAAGATAACAGAAGATGCCTTCGGGTGTCATGAAGGCAGTTTTTTCAGCGTCTCCCTCATGCATGTAGATTTGATGATATCCGCGGAATGCGTCGAGGAATGACATGATCTCGCATCCCGCGGTCTCATCCACCAGTTGATCAATGTTTGGCAGAGGGAAAGGGTCCATAGGGCACGCCTTATTCAGATCTGTGTAGTCCACGCACATGCGGAAGGTAGGGGGCTTCTGTGCGAGGACTACGTTTGCCAACCAAGAAGGGTATTTCACCTCCTTGATGTGTTTGATGGAGAGGAGCATAGCTACTTCCTTTTTCACGAATTCCCTTCTCTCGGCCGAGAGGGGTCTTCTCCGCTGCTGCACCGGTTTGGCCGAAGGGTCCACCGCTAGGCGGTGGGTGATGACCC